CTATAATCTTTTTAAATTTAATTTTTACGCAGTTATAGTAATGCTAACCATGTGTTGCACGGTGCCTTCAGCAACAAATCACTCCCATCACTCGGGGAGTGTTTTGTTGCCATGTGTTAGCCTGTTTCTACAGGCTTCCAAAAGATAATTTGTTCCATTTAGTGGACTGAAGACTGCATCTATGATTGTGCCAAAACCTTACATTCACTTAAACTCTTTGCACTCAACATTCTGCTACACAGCAGGCTGCAAGGAGACAGAGAATAAAAACAATAATGACAAGACCAAGAAAAGGAAAAAATGATCAAAACCAAAACCTACTCACTGTGGCCTCAGGAAGTCTGCAGTCTAGAGCAAAGAAAAACGGAACAAATTAAAAGCTTACAGGGTAACAGGAAAACTATAAACACAGGTGTGGGGCCTGATTAACAGGGAGCGAGTGAGAATGAATGTTTCCACAAAGAAGTGGTATCAAAGCTGAATCTTGTCAGAGTCAGAAAAAAAATTGGGGACTGGGCTTTGGGTAGATGAAGTTGCTGATATAAAGATGCTCTCTGCATTTCTCAGCTGTGTCTTTGATAATAGCAATAGAGACAAAAATAGCAAGCAACATTTTGTGGCGCAAAAACCAGGAGGTTGGTACTGTTCTGAATTCAGTTAATCCTTCAGAAGGCCTGTAGGTTCAGTACCATTATTAGCCTCATTTTACAGATGTAGGCTGGGGCACAGTTGTGGTTCAAGTGACTTGCACAGGGTCACACAGCCAGAGACTAGAGATTGGGACTCAAGCTCAGTCTGGGTTTTAACCATTACTTTATACTACTAGAAGAGACAGAAGGTATGAACGCTGGCTTGAAGGTTTGTGAGGTAACAGATTTAGCCAGGATTAATCTCAGATGTATAGTATACCCACTGAGTAGAAGCCATGTGCCTGGTAAACCATGTTTTGAAGGTAGAGGTCAAACTTCTAACCATGGATTACCAAAACCCTGCCTGCTCAGTACCTCATACACAGATTATCTCTAGCCTAATCCCTTTGAATCTCTACTGTGGGATGTGCAGTCCTTTTCAGTGTTTCTAGATCTAGATTACATCTGCCATGGTGTTCTCTCTCTTCAAAACTGCAGTCTTGAAGAACCAGCCCTCTCTATCCTTACTGAAGCTAGGTTTCAATATGGGGGTGGGAGGTAGAGCTCTCCAAAGGCCTTCCAAGCCCTCTAGCAAAGCTAGAGGCCCCTGAAGCCTCCTGACCAACAGAGGTGGAGTCACCTGGAGTAACATTCAGCCCACATTTTCACATACAGTCAGGAGAATCTGATAAATGGCCTCCAGCAGAGCTCTGACCCACACACCCACCATACCACCAAGACAGTCCTCTTTAGAAAGAGAACGTTCCAGAATCAGTTAAGCTCCTTGGCCCTGAAGGTATCTGGTTTCTTCTAGCTCTAAGGGACTATAATTCCAAACCTCATGACCCCTAGGAAGACGTCAGAGAAGTTAAAAGCACCAGCCTGACTTGGTGGCTTTGAGTAAGTTATTTAACTTCTTTGAGCTTGAGATTTACATAATAATAAAAGTTTACCTACCAGGCTGTATGACGTAACAGCAAAGTATTTAGCATCTGAGGGCCTCAATAAAAGTTTACTTTTATTATTAAAGAAATGAATAAAAGAAATGGAAAATATAAAGAAATGGAAAAAAAGGACTACATATGCAAAATAGGAGAAGGTTATACACCAAACTTTCACTAGGAGAAAATTTCATATTTTGTACACATATCATTTTCAAAACAACTTTTACTACTGGCCTATATCTTCTATAAGATTTTTAAAATAACAATAGAAAACCTCCATGAGACTTTTTACTTTCTCCTTCAAAAATGTGACTGTTGGGCTGAGGATTTAGCTCAGTGGTTCTGCCGCCTGCCTTGAAAGCTCAAGGTCCTGGGTTTCATCCCCTGTACAAAAAAAAAAGTCACTGACAATCAGTATCTCCTATTTGAAAGGGAATGCGAAGGGATAAAGTCCTGTAAGTACCTGAGTCAATGAGTTAAGATACTTCAAGGAAGGGGCAATATTTTGTCAAGGGGGTGGCCCCAGTCTTCCCAGTAAAAATTAGATTCCATCAAGGTAAGCAGGCTCCTGAGCTTGTGCTGTGTTAAACCTTGCTCTGTATCTAAGTTTTGCTGTTCTTTCTTTCTTTTCTTTCTTTTTTTTTTTTTTTTGTACAGGAATCGGACTCGGGCCCTTGTACTTGCAAGGCAGGCAGTGGAACCACTGAGCTAAATACCCAGCCCAGTTTTGGTGTTATTTCAAAAAACAAAAAACCCTATAAGGAGCTATGAGGAGATCAAGAATAAGATGCCCTCCTGCTTTTTTTACAAAGAAAAGAAAAAGAACATAGAGCAAAGGATGAAAACTTATTTACTACTTATTTTGTGGTAAAAATTTTTCTTTGTAGAAGGTTCAAAGCCAGCTGCCTAGGCCTCAGGCCTGCCCTGCCCTAGTTGTACCTTGGCTGCCACCCTAATCAGAGTCCAGGGGAAGCCTGTGCCCTCCAGCC